GCCATACAACTTCAAAAGTTATTTTACTATATCTCAGAAACTATAAAAGCTGTGATATTGAGATTTCACACAAGTGAATATATTAGTAGGGCCGATGTGCTTGATAAAATTCGCTAAAGTTTCTTGGCTCTTTCTAGTAGCTGCCATACAACATCAATAGTAGTTTGGCACAACCAGTATTTTGAATAACACATAGTACTGAAATTTTGCATAAATTAATATGGTAATACGGCAACTTAAAGTCATAGTTTGCCCCATAGTTAGCTATGGCACATTAGTTATTCGCACATAGGATAACAAATTCGTACGGGTATCACAGAGTTGACAAGGTCAACTCTATTTTTTTTCTCGTTTTTCTTACTTTTTCTTATGTTTTATTTGGATTATTTATTTTCTTATTCCATTTTCTAATTTAATGAAAAGAAAGAGTATATTAAGGACTTATTTTTTAAAAAGGTCATGAGTTTTGCTTTATTTTTTGTATGAAAATGGTCTTATTTTTGTTAGAGTTCGCTACTATTGGAAATTGCACATTAGTGCCGTGAAAGGTTTCTTTTTAATGCAAATTGGGCATTTTTCGTACTTTTTGCTCGAGCTGTAACAGGACGAAGTTTAGGCGGCTCTTTTTTTAAAGTAAAAACTAAAAAATATTTCAAAATAGTTTTTCATTTTAGATATCTGCGAAGAAAAAACAAATTTAAACAAAACTCGTTTTTTTTTTTTTTCTTTTTGAATAAATTTATTTTATAAATTGCAAATATTTATAAGTACTCGTATTTTAACATCGCAATATTTTATGACCCTCGAAAATGAACATATTTTATCAAAAAATTTCTTATATTATCAGTAGGGAACGGATTTTCACGTTTTTACCTACTTTTGGTAGTGCTTATTAGGACATATTTACCAATATACAAATGCGTTTCATAAAATATCCTTTCATTTGGCATCGATTTGGAAAAGCTTTTTTAACCTTTTTCGGGGTTTAATACCTTTTTTAACCTCTTTTAATATTTTTTGCCTTTTTCGACTTATTTGGCCATTTTCCAGCTACTTTGCTAAATACAATTCAAAATTAAGTTGAAATTATGTCCAATTCTTTTATTTTGTCCCTAATTTTTTTTTATTTCACTGAATGTCACAATTCCTTTAAGAAATAAATGCCTACCAGTGTGACGTTAGCACGTTTTTTTTGATGATTCCATAAAAATATTGGGCATTTTAATCGCGATTTAATTTTACTTTTTATATCGCATTCTGCAACATATGTGCCCACTAAATAAAATATTATGCCCACTATTTTGAAAAAATTGAAAATATGTTGTGCAACTTACTAGAAGAAAATTCTGCTGCCGTTGCAATAGCAAAAAAAATGTTTTCAAATTTAGATTTTAAAAATAAATTCTTATATTGAAAAATTATTTTGTATTTCTATGCGCAAATTTCAGTTTTCCTAGCACTTCAATCACTCGCTTAGAAACTTCTAAGCGATCTCTTCATGCTCAGATAGAGATTATTGAAGATGCTCTTGAAAATAAAATAACGTAAATAGGTCACATGCAGTTTCAGTTAAAATAAAAATCGGTAATATTATTAAAAAAAATAGGGATTTCAATATTTTGTAATACAAAAATGTTGCAAATATTATTGGTGGAAATACAGCATCTTATCAAAATTTATACACAAATGTTGAAATCATGGCACTTAAATTTGCGCCAGTAACTTCAACTGATGTTGAAAGATCGTTTTGAATGTATAAAAATATTTTGAGATCAAACCGACAACATTTTACGTTTGAAAATTTACAAATTCATTTAATTATAAACTGCAATTTTAAATAATGTACAATCAAAACTAAAGCTTTATTTTGGTTGCACAGTTTTTTTTAGTTTTAATTTATATTTATATAAATTTTTTAAAATAAAAATGATACGTTGATTTTTATTGGTATAATTTTTGAAGTTTATTAGAACCTATTTAGGTGCCTAAAAGAAATTTTTTAGCACCTAAAAATCCGTTCCCTATAATTATCAGTGTTGTTTGACAATTTTACAGAACAACTCTAAACATTATTAATTACAATAAATATAAATACATATACATTTTAATGACTCTAAAACGGTATAATTTTTAACAAATTTTAATTAATATGATATTTATTACTCACTGAAGTAGATGGTATGTTGTCGTATTCTTCCTTATTCATTGAAATTCACATACTCATTCATTCTTAAGCAGTATATTTTATAAATAACTCTTAAAAAAATTATAAAAATATTTTATTATAAGTATCTTATTATTATATTTTAATAAAATATCTTATTATAGTATTTTTATAATCATTATACTCTTATTATAATGATTATAATAATATCTTATTTTATTTAATGAATTCAACGGCATCGTGACGTCTTTAAATATTTTTTTGGTGACCAAATTTTCACTTAATACTCGTAAAGAGAAACATATTTCACTTCATCATTTTTAGAAAACTGTGATTATACAAAAAAAATCGAGTTAAAATATTTGTTTGTATGCTACATTTTATCAAACACAAACTCATTTTGCTTAAAAAAAATGAGGTCCTAGGAAAATTATGTCATACGAAGTAATAAATTTAAAACAAAACAAAAACAAATGTTTTCTTCGAAAAATTAAAATTACAAATTATGAATTAATCAAAGCACTATTTAACAAATATTACTTTTAATTATGAAAATGTGTAAAAAAACTACATATGTATGTGTTTTGCAAATGGGAATAACAATTTAGAGCTATACACCGTTTTCTTTTTCAACAAATTTTTTGCTTTTTTTCACTTGCTATAATTTTTTTATAAGCTTTTATAAAATAATAATCCTTTTTATACAAATACACATTATTAAATATTTTATGATTTTTTATTTACAAACTGCACTAATTTTACGAGTATAAATAGAATAACAAAATATTTGTTTACTTTTTCAAAATCTTTGTTACGGCGCGCAATTTTCTAAGAAAAAAAAACATTTGGCATTTAATTATACCCTGCACTTCGTGAAGGGTATATTAACTTTGGTATGGAGTTTGTAACTACTTGAAGGAGTCATCTGCGGTATGGACATATATATATATTCTTGCTCAGCGTAAAATTCTGCGTCGATTTAGACATGTCCGTCCGTCCGTCCGTCCGTCCGTCCGTCCGTCCGATCGCACGATAACTCAAAAACGAATAATGCAATCGACACCAAACTTTCACAAGTTTTTTCTTTTGTGCCAAGGACGAACCCTATTGTTATTGGACTAAGTCGGACAACGGGTTCGGGTAGCTGCCATACAACTCCAAGAGTTTATTTTAAATATTTCAAAAACTAATAAAGCTATAAATATAAAATTTTGTATACATGTGTCCAATTATATTCTACATATGTTCTAAAAATTATAATGGGATAGCTGCACCGGTTCGGGTTTCTGCCAGACAACTCCAACAGCAAATTTTTTATATACGGAAAAATAATAAAGTCAGATTCATGAAACTTGGCAGTCATGTGTCCAATATAGGTCAAATATATTTCTGAAGTTTTAGAGGAATCGCTTGACAGGTTCGGGTACCTGCCATACAACTCCAGAAGCTAATTTTAAATATTTGGAAAAATAATAAAGTCAGATTCATGAAACTTGGCAGTCATGTGTCCAATTATGGCTCAAATATATTTCTGAAGTTTTGGTGGAATTGCTCGACAGGTTCGAGTAGCTCCCATACAAGTCTAAAAGCTTATTTTAAATATTTGGAAAAATAATGAAGTCAAATTCGTGAGACTTGGCAGTCGTGTGTCCAATTAAAGGTCACACATATTTCTAAAGTTTTGGTGCGATTGCTTGACAGGTTCGGGTACTTGCCATACAACTCCAAAAGCTTATTCTTAATATTTGGAAAAATAATAAAGTCAGATTCATGAAACTTGGCAGTTGTGTGTCCGATTATAGATCAGATATATTTGTGAAGTTTTGATGGAATTGCTTGACAGGTTCAGGTACTTGCCATAAAACTCCAAAAGCTTATTTTACATATTTGGAAAAATAATAAAGTCAGATTCATGAAACTTGGCAGTTGTGTGTCCGATTATAGATCAGATATATTTATGAAGTTTTAGTAGAATTAATTGAAAGGTCAGGTACTTACCATACAACTCCAAAAGTTAATTTTAAATATTTGGAAAAATTATAAGGTCAGATTCATGAAACTGGGCAGTCGGATGTCCAATTATAGGTCAGACACGTCCGTGAAGTTTCTATAGAATGATTTCAGAGGTTCGAGTAATTGCTACACAATAACGAAAGGTGCAGGGTATAATTCAATCGGTTTATACCGACTGAAACGTTTTTACTTGTTTTAATTTCAGTTAGACAATGCTGTGAGCCAAGAAAGAGACTTACATACCTTAAGTTTTTGGCTTCACTATGTTTTTTTTTTTCAAGATGCGATTTTTTCTAATTCGTTGGAATTTAATACGTTTCAATATGATTTTAATACGTTTTCCCCTCTATGTTGAAAAGAGTTCATGATTTATTTAACTATGCCACAGATTAAGTACATGCCAAAGAATCTGCTATTCATTTTTGAATCTTCGGTTATTTTTTATGCACTTCGGAAATTTTTCATCTTTAATTAAGGTGTAGTTTAAATAAAACGCAGTTTAATAGAGCTAATAAAATGTGTAAAAAGTCTTCCAAAGTAAAAAATAAAGCCAAAATAGCTAGTTGCCATCTACTGAATACAGTTAAGGTGAAAAATAGTAGAAATGCTTTTAAACTTTAAATATTTGTACAATTAAGTTAAAGCTTTTTCAATCCTTTTTTACAAGTACACGTATATGCACATACCTCCGAAGTATATGCTCATTCCTCTGATTTAAAAAAATAATAATTGTTTTCACTAATAAATCATTTATAAATCATTTGATAAAATATATAAATTAAAAGAAGTGAAAAGTGTTACTTAAACAAAAAAATGTGTTTACTTTCGGATGCCAAATATGAAATATCCCTGGATCTGTAGCTCTTATGATTTTTATATTTGAGCGAACGTATTTTCTGTACAGCATAACATCTTCCCCACCCCAGCCAATAATTTCCTCATCAAAACCTCGAATTTTCAAAAAATCTGATCTAGGAGAAGTAAAAATCATTACATATTGGCAGTAACAACGTATGTATTTAAGATTTTAAAAATATGTTTTAAGCGAACCTATATTGACAAGTCATTCCGTAACCGAAATCTCTCCAAAAACCAGTGTCTCTTGAAATTACTAATTGATCAGTTTCAGGTGGAATTTCTTTGCCTTGTAAAGTATAAACCACATGTGGATTATACAAACTGAAAACGACTGGATAATAAACCTAAGAGTGGAAAAATGTAAAAATAAATATAGTCAGCGATAAAAATTAAAAAAAATATTTAATCAGCAGTATAATGTGATTTTCTCTACAACGATTATATACCTTTTTTTCAGGTTGCGTATTCCAACGACACCTGTCTAGAAACTTTGCACTAAAAACAATATCGACATCGCACATAAAAAGTAATACGTCTTTATTTTTATCTTCAATTTCCCAAATTCTTTCGGCACCTACACGTAGTCCTTTTGCTATAATTTATTATTCAAATAGATTATGATTTATTTATTGACACTTTCAAACAGATTAAAAACAAAATAATCATACCTCTAGAGAAAGTTTCATTCAAAGCCAATAATTTAAGGTTTGATGAGTTACCTCCACTGTTTTTCATAGTTAGCACTCTGCTCATTATTGTTCTCGCTTCGGATAATCCATCTTCACCAAAATATACTACAGTTAAATGCACACGTTTATCATTTTTTAAAGCTATTTTAACAAATTTGTCCATAAAACTTTGAAAGGTTGCCGTCCTTCCTGATAATGGTAATATTATATGAATTATTTCTTTATCATGTACTTTGGAATACATTTCCATTTTTATTGTCTGCAGTGGAGCAAAAGGTCTCATTAAAATTACTTTTGCCGTATTTCCTCCATTCGGCCCAAAATCTGGTGGATTTGAATTGCCACCGCCCTGAATACTATCATGACCGTTATCAGCACCATTTCCTCCATTTCCCACGTTGCGATGATGATACTGATTAAACATTTTACTACGAAAAAACAGTTCGAATTGGGTACCTGTCGTTTGTTCAGTTCTATAAATACCTTCGATAAAATCATCCAATGTATATTTCTGTGTAAAGCTATTATTTATATTATAACTATTATTATTATTGTTCTTGTGATTATTACTATTATTATTATTATTATTATTATTATTATTATTATTATTATTATTGTTATTATTATAATTATTATTATACACTAAAGAACTGACATTCTTATTCAGACTTTCAATCGCCTTATTCAAGGCCTCTAGTAAATCTTTACGTTTGTAACCAATCGGCTTTTCTACAACTCTTTTACCTAACCCTAATTCAATTGGATAAACTCTATTAAAAGTAAAATGATTAAATGGTATTAGCTCATATTCATTATTTAATGGAAGACCTCGAAGTATTTCTGCATTGCCAACTTGTTTGCGAATATAATTTGTGCAGTCATATGATGATGATGCAATCGTTGTTATTGTTGACGATAATGAGGATAATGGTAATGACGTTAATGGTGATAATGATAGAATTGAATAATTGTTCGTTTGAGTAAAAGAATTTGTAGTAGTATTAAAATTATTTTTCGCTTTTGCTAAAATAAAATAAATTTTCAAGTTTTTACTAAAAATTATGAGCCAATTTACATTACAATATTATTTGGATATTCCTTACTTTTTAATTCAAGTATTTTTCGTTTTAAATACTTTATTTCAAATTTTAGTTTATTTAATTCTTGTCTATATTCTTCGTCTTTCAACTTCAATGACTCCACACAGTCTTTTTGATCCCCATAGAGGTCGAAATTCCTCAAATTATGCTGATGAGCTTGAGGAGAATGTACATTTTCATAAGAACTACTTTGTTTTCTAGAACCTTGAAAAAATTAATACAACAATTTAATAATGGCAAATAAATTTTCAGATAAAGTTATGTACATACATATATCATTGAATATTTTTCTTTATTTGTTAAATAAAAATATTAAAACAAGTTTTATCTGTAATAATGTTTGCTTTTTCTGGTTGTGCGAATAAATTTATTCCCTACACCTTAAACCTGTAATAACCTAATATTAATTTTATTTAAAATTGAATGAAATTGTATTGAAAATACTAATTTTGATAGCTCTTTATTGACGGTGTATTTTTTACAATGTATGTACATAGTTTATTTCTAAAAATATTCGCAACACAAACAAGATTAATTATCTACAAAGCACAAAAATTTTTTAAAACGGTTGCACACCTTGTAGTTTTGTATACTGACTTTTTATTAAAATCCTTATCGGGACGTTGTCAAGTGTTTCGTGCCCCATAAGAAATTTAAAATAAATAAAAGGAGAAGGCTCTAAACATTTTTTTATACGTTAAAATAAATATTTAAGTATGTATGTGAATTAGATTGAGTAATCCTTTTAAGTAAATAATGATGGCTCTTTTATGAATAATAACTCTTAATCTGATCATAGGAAATATATACAGTAAATCGAATCCAAAGGAAACTTACCATTTTCATCTTCTTTATCATATCCGCTTATATTACAATTCGAAAGAGCCAAAAGAGATAGTATCGTTATCGTGGTTATCAATAATAACAATCTTGCAAGTAATTTTGAAACTGCTATCTTCATTTTGCCGGGATTTTCTATAAATACACCCCTACAAGCAAATTAAAAGAGAATAATCGATTATTGAAATTATTTTAAAATAATTAAGTAATAGTAATGTCGTATTCTTATATGTACATTTATGTATATAATATAATGACAAATTTAAGCTCCAATTTTACTTTTTTGCGTACATTTTAGATTTCAAAAGTACAAATGAAAGTTGAACAACAAAAAATACAAATAATATGCGCCACACGGCAAGTCAGAAACGTGTTTTGATAAAATGTGTTTTATTTTTGTTTGATTAAAATAGACATACATTTAAAATGTGTTTTAATTTGTTTGTAAAGACATACATTTATCAAGTCTCAAGCTTTTAGCTTGAGAAATTTTGAAAGCATGTCCTTTTTTTATTTGGGTTTTTTTTAAATCCGCATTTTTTGAGAAGAAATACGGAATTTATTTAAATACCCACTTTTTGAGAAGAAATACGGAAATAAATTTATACTATCTATTATATTTCAAATATCTATTACATATAATTTTTTCATTCAAAATTATTTAATTAACAAAAATGAAAAAAATGTTAAAATACATGCCCAAAATCCCAAAAAAATACAAACTATAGTATAAAGACTATAAGGTAAAAAATGGTATAAAGACTATAAAAAGTATAAATTGTTTAAAGAAAGAACGTTTTAAAACTTTTCTTTAATTTATATATTTAAATACAATTACTTTTGAAGTAAAAGCTGATAATATATAAATTCAAAAAATTCTTTTTGGTGCTATAAAAAAAATTTAAATTAAATTAATCAATTTTGATTTATAAATAACCCCTTTTATTGAATAAAAGATTAAACGGTTTTAATTTGCATTCGATAGGTTGATCGTTTTTTTGGTAAACTGAAACTTTATTTTACAAAAATTTCAAACGTTCTTGAAATTACAAAAATTATACAAGGTAAAAGTACTTATCTTAATTTAGAACACATTAAAAAATTATTGTTAAATTAACTTAACTTTACACTTTTAATAATAATAAAATATTTAAAATACTCAATATACACACCAAATGTCAATTGTTACTCATTATATAACATAATATAGGTTTTAGCACAGTGCAAATATAGGTTTTTAACGCAATTTTGTTAATATAGGTTTTTAACGCAATTTAAAAATAACAATGAAAAAAAATAAAAAAAATAAATTAATCATAAACGGTTTTAAGTTGGTCGTTCGTAAACATTATGGTTTAAGTTATAAATTTTGTTTGGAAATATAGCAACTTAAGAAAATTATTAAAAGGAAAAAAAATAAATAAAAATAAAGTTGGTTCAAAAGGAAGTTGGTTATAGAAATTTGGAAAAGTTTACAGTTTCGGAAATATAATGTGTCAAAAATTGGAATTTTACAAATTTCATGAGACGATAACTTGAGAAGGGATGGAGGTGGAAAAAAATTTTCTTCTAATAAAATAAACTATTTATTAGTATCTGAAAGCCGTTAAAATTTCGTAATAACGCACGGTGTAGAAGAAAAACGGTATCAAAAATTTGGAAAAAACGGACTTTAGATAACAATAAATTTTAGCAGCCATGTGGTTTTTTTTTTAAAGTTATTGTTATTTAAAGGTATTGTTATGCCGTGGTAGAAGAAGCCAGCCACTAGATTAAAAAAAAGACATTTTTAGAGTTTTTGGGGATATAACTTCCAAAGTGAGAGAGATAGGTAAAAATTTTGTTCTACGGTAATAAGTCTCTGCTGAAATGTTTTTCTGACATTGCATTTGGTTTGTATTAAGTAAATTTGAAATGACCATAATTTTTCACTTTCTCTTTTTCATTTACATTTTTAAAAATATTTTATTTACATGTTATTATTTCATTGATATTAGTGTTGAGTTACAACAAACCACTTTTATTAGCAATTTTTTCTACAATGGTTTTAAGACAAGTTTCCCTAGTAAATTTTGAATTTGATAAAACAAAAATAATTGTATTTTCCTTTAAAAGTATACGCAGTTTTCAATAAAGGGTAACATTTCTATTGCAATATTTTAAACTTTTATTTCTTCTTGCGATATAATGTTTTTTAATAAAATTTCTAATTTAAATAACTTGAGAATAACTTCTTTAATATCACACATTTGTTTTGTTAATAAATTTATATTTTCATTTATTTCTGATTTAAATACAAAAAGTTTTAAATCATCTAATTTTATTGATTTCGTTACTAACTTGTTTCGTTACTAACTTGGTCGGGGCATCGGCCAACTGCTACCCCAGTATGCTTTGAGCAGCCTGGGAAGAGTTTCATAAAATCATAACCAAAAAAAAATTATGCACACGTTGATGTAAAATAAGTAAAAAAACAGTGCGATTGCAAAAACATGGAACCAGAATATGAAGTGTTGAAATAGAATCACCAAACTTCACATCCCTATGCCGACAGGGTGATGAACCCCCACTGTTTTGTTTTTGTTTTCTTTGTTTTATATTAAATTCATTTAAATTTAATATTTTTTAATTTAATTTGATTATACTTCTTTTCTTTTAAAAGTAAATTAAATTAAAACTAAAAAAAAATTTAAGACTGGGCCCAATACTTTCGTGTGCACCGTTTCTCTGGACTCCATGTCTGTTCCTTTCTTTCTCTTTCCAGATTCTTTATTGTTTTATTTTGAAGAATTTTTTTGTGATTTTTATTTTGCATTTACGGAGATTATAGTAACAGGATTTTGTTTCAAAGGTAAAAATATATTGCATAATATGGGATTATTTTGAGAAAATGGTTGTTGATTTTGGGTTTTGATTTGTTTTCGTTCATTCTCATATTGTGTTACTTTCTAAATTCTAACAATTTCAATACATTTTTTTTAAACATTCCCACTTCCTTTTCTATTAAAAAAAAAAAAAATATTTCAACTTTTATCTTAATATTGTTTTTCAATTTTTTCTTCATTTTTAATAATTATAATAACAATAGTCAGCAGAATATCAAAATTTTTAATTATTGTATCATATCTTATAATATAACATAAACAAGGTTTTGCTTATTAATTTATAAAAGTTTTGTAATATTTTATAATAATTGTTATATATTTTTTTTTATTTTATATTTTTATAACCGACCTTCGTGAAGGGTATATTAACCTTGATATAGAGTTTGTAACAACTTGAAGCAGTCATCTGCGGTATGGACATGTATATATATCCTTTCTCAACGTAAAATGCTGCGTTGGTTCAGCTATGTCCGCCCGCCGTTCCGCAATCGACACCAAACTTTCACAAATTGTTTCTTTTGTGCCAAGGATGTTATTTTTTTTGTATTTATTTATTTATTTGCTTTATTTTTCATATAAAATTTTTTAAGACTAAATTAGTCAACAAGTATATAGATAACTTAAAAATAAAATAAATTAATTAAATTTAAAACAAATTTAAATTTGATTAATTCAACAATTTATTTGTGGTGAGGATCATAAAGAAACCTAATTAAGAAATAAAAAATTCAAAAATCCCAAAAAAACAAAATCTAAAAAGATAAGTGATAAAAAGATAAGAGATAAAAAAATACAAAAAATTTCAATTTACTTCCTAAAATATAAAAATACAATTTACAATTTCAAACAACTTATACATTTCAAAAGTTATTTACACAATAAATTGTAATCACACCTTTGTTCAAATATAAACTTTGCAATCACAAGATTGTGCATCAAGCAAATTTAACTCAATAAAAGTTCGATTCCTTTGCGGTCGAAATTAAATCACCATTTTTTAAGAGTCTCTGCAAAAACTGGCAAAGTTCGAACTCTTCTGAGATTCAATGGCAATAGATTGAATACTTTTAGCGCAATCAGATATAGAAATGAAAAAATTGACAAAGTCTAACTCTTGGAACAGCTGCCATATTTATATTACTAATTCTCAAATTATAATTAAAATAAAACCTTTGCACCAGGTAGCCAAACCGCATGAAGAAGACTTTTAAAGATTTATAAAAATATAGGTGCCGAAGGGGGAGAACATTTAAATATCTAAACAGTGGAAAACAATGTCCTGTTTTAACTCAGATATATTCCTGAAGTTTCAGTGGAATTGCTTAACTAGTTCGGGTAGTCGTCATACAACTCCAGAAGCTAATTTTGAATATTTGAAAAAAAAAAATAAAGTCAGATTCATGAAATTTGGCAGTCGTATGTCCAATAATTAGATCAGAAATTTCTGAAATTTTGGTGGAATTGCTTGACTGGTTCGGGTAGCTGACATACAACTCCAAAAGCGAATTTTAAATATTTGAAAAATTAATAAAGTTAGATTCATGAAACTTGGTAGACGTTTGTCCAATTATTAGGTCAGCTATATTTCTAAAGTTTTAGTGGAATTGCTTGACAGGTTCGGGTAGCTGTCATACAACTCCAAAAGCTAATTTTAAATATGTGAAAAAATAATAGTCATATTCATAAAACTTGGAAGTCGTGCATCTAATTACAGTTCAGATATATCCGCAAAGTTTCTATAGAATGGTTTCGTAGGTTCGAGTAATTGCTGTAAAACAATGAAAGGTGCAGAGTATCATTCAATCGGTTTATACCGACTGAAACATTTTTACTTGTTTTTATTGAGTCGCCTAAGTTATATATCCTCTTCCAGTATAGACAAAATTTCAATACTAATTAAGCGATACCTTTTATCTTCTTTATTTTGCTTTTTCTAATGATATATCGCATTTCAATATAACTCAAAATATACTTTTTGTTTTTCTCGTTTTGTTTTTTTTTATTATTTAAATCACACATGTTGGCTTAAGCCGTCGTACTAAGAGTTATGTTACATAACTAATAAAAATAGAATCTAATATTACAAACATTTAATATAGTTTTTTTTTGTTTCTTGTATAAAATTTATGCATTGAAATTATCGCTTAATAAACTATTCCGTGTGAAAATATTTCTAAAAAAAATAAAAATCTAATAATTTCGTGTGAAAATATTTCTAAAAAAATAAAAATCTAAAAAATAATTCTTTTCAGCAAATTGGTTTC